GGCTCACAGTGCCCCCCAGCTGGCAATCGTGAGGCAGAGCGCAGGCAAAGGAAAGCAGTATGACGTGAAATGCCACCTAAACGAGCCTCTTCAGCAATGTTCAAACATGGAGTTGGCTACGCTAACAAATGCCACCCTTTTAAAAAAATAAGAGAAATACGTAAGTACCCGTTGCTTCATGTAATTTTTTCCTTTAATAAAGGTTCGATATGCTGGCCTTCGTCTCCTGGAAGGAGCGTCCTTCTTTGCTTCGGCTTTCCGATGCTTAACGCTCAGTATTCCATTGGTCATGCCTACAACGATCATCTCGTCGTCATGCTGGCAGCGATCAGAAGAAGAAGTTAGTCTGCTTACTCCCAGCCGATAGGGCCTTTTCTCCAAATAACATGTCTAACCTTGGCAGCTTATTCCCACTTCCACCAACAGTTCCATTCAGAAATAGATTTTAAAAGGTTTTTTAGGAAATAAGGATACCATTATGTTGTCAGAATTTATTCTATGTGCTAAAAAGTATCACTGGCCAAGCTTGTATAACAACAAGGCATAGTTAATGATATTTGGGGAGTTTGGCATGACCTACAATGCTGATAGAAAAGACTTTGGAATAACTTTACTCTCAGTACAGATTATTATATAATACATTCATCTGCTTTCCTCCCCAAATATGGCTCCTCATGAATTCTGAATGAGCAGTCGACCCAAAACAGGTATTTCAGTTTGTTGGCTCGATAGCCAATTTTCCTTTTAAAATATCATGACACCCTTCATAAAATATGCTAAAGAGCAATGTGTCAATTCCAAGTTAACACCTGGAAGGTGTACTCACCTGGAAGGCACACAGTGAGTAGAATATGAATCTGAATTCATGCTAAATTATTAGTAAAAGTCACATATTCTAGCAATTGCGCTAACATAAAGAACCAATGTGGTAAGAAAAAAACAAGGCTTATTAAAATCTACTGCAGTCTTATTCAGGGATCCTCAAACTTTTTTAACAGGGGGCCAGTTCACTGTCCCTCAGACCCGTTGGAGGGCCAGACTATAGTTTCAAAAAAAACTATGAACAAATTCCTATGCATACTGCACACATCTTATTTTGAAGTAAAAAAACAAATGGGGCAAAAACACCCAGCGGGCCGGCCGGATAATTGTCCTCGGCGGGCTGCATGTGGCCCGTGGGCCGTAGTTTGAGAACCCCTGGTCTTCTTTCACCGGCAAGCTCAGGGAAAAATTTAAGAGCTAAAAGTACTTACTGCAAGTGCCAGACTCAAAATGGAAGCTGCATAGTCAAAACTGTGGACTACTTTGTAGGATGCGGTGCTATACACTTTCACCTTCCTATAAAATAAGAAAGTTTCATCGTCACAAATCATTTGGGAAATGAGTATACAATGCAGTGAGATAGTTAACGTTTACTGTCCCAACCTGGCCCATGAACACGTGGGATTAATTGAAGCGGAGAGATAAATGGCTCGGCGAGCCTTGCCTTTCTTGTCTCTTGCTCTTTGATCATCAGACCAGTGTGCGGCTGCCTGGCTTGTTCTGTGCCTTAATTTGCAAGCTACACTACCTGTGGGACACGTAACCCGTGGACTGTGTCGCTGTGATTTGATGGTTGGTGACCTGCCTTGCTGTTTGCTGCCTGTGGCCGGATAGCCTGAATTGCTCTACAGAGGACTACCCAGCGGCCCTTAAGACTTGAAGGACTTCCAGTGTCTCACAACTGTCTCACGGGACTGAGTTCCACTGAGCCATTTGTACTGCTTTATAATTTAATTAACTGTTATTTCTTATGTTATATAGCTAGCTATATAAATATATATATAAAATTATTAGCATTCTGGTTTTGTTTCTCTAGAGAACCCTGTCTAACACATGCAGTTTCTAATTGATTGTCGTGATGGTTACACAACTCTTACAAATGTGACTGAGCTACTATAATGGATGACATATGAACTGTATATTGTTGAAATTGTTAAAAATAAAACTATTAAAACATGCTGCTATGTTTTTGAAAAATCAACATATAAATATTAAAACTTATGCAACTGAGAATTAGTAATGTTATTTACAAACAGAATCCCTCAATAAAAATGGTCTGTATCAGCAGTGGCCATGATATTTATAATAAAACTTTTAAACTACCACTTCTGCCTCAGTGTTGAACTTTACATTATTTAAAATAAAAACTTTAGTTTCTCGTGTTCATTAAATCCACAGTGGCCAGTGGATACCACATTGCACAGCATAGCTCTAGAATTTACAGATATTCATCTATTGACGATGAATGGTCTGTCCTTGTGTTTATTTTATTTTGTTTGGGTAGATTGTATTTCCTTTAATTGTTTTATTAATGTATCATAGTACATCTATTAGATGCGTCATTGTTTCTATTATCTTTTTAAATAACCCTTATAGTAATAACATGTTGAAATGGTAGCATTAAGACATACTTAGCTACATAAAGATATGGTTTTAAAATTAATTTGATCTAGTTCCCTCCCTGCCACTATTTACTTATATTAAAAGATCCTTTTATTGGGATTCTTATAACAATCCGAATATTAATTGTATCAAGCATATTTGTACATATGTTGCCCTCATTATTTTCTAAGCATTTACTTTCTATTGGAGTTCTCAATATCAGCCCCCCCCCCATGACCCCGATAAATTATAAATTATTTTCATATTTTACACCAACTGCTGTCTCCCTTCCCCCACAGTTTCTGTTGCTCGCCCCCTGGGGAACTGTGGTGAAGTTATGTCAGTCATTCCAACCAGTTTCCCCTTCCTCCTTTCCTCTCTCCACCTACCCTCCCTCCTGGTATTGCTACTCCTAGTCCTGTTCCTGGATTCCAACCCTTTTCCTTTAAGGTGGCTAGTAAAATAGTCAAAATGACATAGAAGACGTGTTTGGACAACCTTGGTCCAGAACACGAACTAATGAAATTTTAAATATCTATTTAAAAAGAACTGCATGGACTACACTGATATGCAGAAATTTTCACAAGACATTTAAATTTTAAAAAATGTAAACAATGGTGTAAACATACTCATTACTAGTACTTCAAAATATACCAATGTATAGTATGATTTTAAAAGAAACTGGAGCAGTAAATTGTTCTAAGGGATTAATGCTTGAATGGGTCAATAAAATTAATGAACCATCTAAGTTTAGGCAATAAACTGTCAAAGGATAATAATAAGGTGGCTATAAGCAAACAATTCAAATTTTTTTCAAACCAATAGATTTGTTTTTCTATGAGAAGCATCTAGCAGAACACTTACGTTACCACAAATATTGCTGAGGTAACTCATGTCCCCAGCAGTAAACTCACTAGTAGACCAGTAATGGTGAATAGTAAAAATGAAAACACTGACCTGTCCAGTGAGCCGGAAAGTAACCTCTGTCCAGAGCTGCTCAAGCACAAGCACGTCACCGTTTTGTGGTGATTTTTCAGAGACACTAACAACTGTCCTCCTTTTAACATGTCCCAGACCTTAACATAACGGCCGCCTACAACAGGAAGCAGCCATTAATTAGACAATCTGCCTTCCAAGTTAAATTTTCCATGCTCTGAAAAGCACTCTTCGGGAGGTACTCTTAGCGCAGAGGGTGGTGAGGGTTAAAATAAAACCAGCCTTTGAAAATAATTTTGCATAAGCATGGAAATGAATAGATTTTACTACCTAAAAATTTTGTGAATCTCAACAAACCTGGAAAAGTTTTCCCCTTAATTTTTCAGCTAATTGGAGGGTGTCTTAGGAGGTAGCTAGCTTAATATTTTAAAAAAGTTTTTAACACAGCATCTTCTCTTTTGACAATATCTCTAAGCAAAAGCTTGTAGGTCAAACAGAAAAAAAAGACGGGAGGGAGAAATGGTATTCAGGTTAGAGATTTATTCTAATTGAGGAATCCGGTCTAGGGCCCAATGTACAGTCCCCACTTGGATGTGGAAGCACGTACGATAGGGTATCGAGTCTGAAAGCACAGATCTCGTCCAACTCTCGTTTCCCAGCTGTAGGAAAGCTAAGGGTCTGCCCAGTGTAGCAAGTAGCATTCTCCCTATTTAACTCGACTGTATTCCTTTCTCACGATGGGGATGATGTCTGACAAGGTCACCAACTGGTCTTTACATCAAATAGGTACTAGGAAATGAGTAAGAAAGGATCATTTATACTTGGATCTTAGAATAAGATTTAAAAAGAAGGGTGTGCTCAATCCACACAATTACATATGTGCTATCAAGTATACTTAAGAAAGGAAAAGCACCCAACTGACATCAAGTTGATTCCGACTCCTCGCAGCTCTCCATGGGGCTTCTGAGGTCCTAAGTCTTTGTGGGAGCAGCCAGCCATCTTTTCCCAAGGAGCAGCTGGTGAGTTTGAAGAACCGCTTACCAAAAAGCATCAGCAAAACTCATACGTTACGTACATAGTCTGCAAATCTCAACATTAATTTTGGCTTTATTGATAAAAAGCACAAGGACCACTGGTGGCCTAGCAGTTTATTAAGCGGTTCACCACAAGGTCAGCAGTTTGAAGCTACCAGACACTCCGAGGGAGAGATGAGGCTTTCTACTCCTGCAAAAAGTTCTAACCTCAGAAACCCACAGGGCAGCTCTACCCCGTGTTATAGGGTTGGTATAAGTCAGAATTAACTGAAGGGCAGTAAGTTAGTTTTTGAGGCCAACATAACAAAAAACACCTTGTTTTAATGTAATTACAAAATGTTATCAAGGCTCCTTTTGACTGTACACGATCTTTTTCTAGCAGTATCAGCTATATGCTTGCTGGTCAAGGCCCTTTCAATCAAGAGTCCATCCGAGCCAGGCCTGGTGCTAGGTCTGAAAGAGCCACCCCACCCTCTCAAGAGAGGATCAGCAGAGGAGTAAGAACGAAAGAGCCATGGTCAAACAAGGCAGCACAGGATTATATCCTCCAAGGTCTGGGACTTCAGACTGGCACCCCACCCTCTCAAGAGAGGATCAGCAGAGGAGTAAGAACGAAAGAGCCATGGTCAAACAAGGCAGCACAGGATTATATCCTCCAAGGTCTGGGACTTCAGACTGGCCATACACCAACTTTGCCTGGGATAAATGAGTTAAAACGTTTGCTGCTTTCCCTAGCTATAAGAGGGTGGAAAGTAGAAGCTTGTGGGGCATTAGAGAGAGCATGTATGTAACAGCAATGTCTGGCCCACATTAAATGCTCAACAAACGCTAACTACTTGCCTCCTTCCTCTATCAACTGTCAGAGCAGTGAGGTGTGCAAACGCAACCTGACAACTGCCGAAGGAAGATGGGGAAAACAGCAGCGCCGTGGGAGGCACATACCTGCGGATACCAGCAGCCCTCCGGAGGGGAAAAGCAGGACGCTCTCCACGGGCTGCCCGTGCTCCACAGAGAGGACACTCTTACTGGTCCGAGTGTCGAACATCTTCACCGTGTGATCATACGACCCTGAAGTGTCAACGTTTACATCATGTGAATTTCACCTCTTAACACAACATACACGTCTAGAGATTTCAGACATCAATTTTAAAAGGAGAAAAACCTTAGATGAAATTTTCAGAAGACACATACAAAAACATTGTCTTTCCAAACCCTCTGCTGGGCTAAATTTTTTGTAGCAGCCCTATGCTAGGTCTCACGGGCTCTAACTCAGCGGTTCTCAACCTGTGGGTCACAACCCCTTGGGGAGGGCGGGAGGCGAACAACTGTTTTACAGGGATCAGCCGATTCATAACAGTAGCAAAATGACAGTGATGGAGTAGCATGGATAATAATTTTATGGTTGGGGGGTCACCACAACATGAGAAACTGTATTAAAGGGTCTTAGCATTAGGAAAGTTGAGAACCACTGCTCTAACTGGTTCTGAGCTTACACTACCTTAATGTTCATACTACTGCCTACTGCCCCGGGGGGCTGGGAGTCTGCATGGGCACCAAAGGCTGAACCTGCCATTTCCTTGCTGCTGGAGCCTCTTTGGGAAGCCTGGGTCCTAAACCTGTACCACTCTGAAATCGAGGCAGTCTGACATTCCCAAACGCACTTGGGGGGCCATAGGAACCACCACCAAAAAAAAAGGGACACCAAAACCACTGGATAAACAGTCACATATTCTTTTCTTTATAAAATATGCAAGCTCATTCTCTAAAGCCCCAAAGTAATATCAAAGTACACCACAGTAAAGCTATCTATGTCAGGAGGTTTGGAAAAGGAGGCACAAACCTGTTACGAAGAGATCCGGGTTCAGCTTGCTAGCACATCCACACCTCACATAATCAGAATGCTCTTTGAAGGTCAAAACTTCTTCGGAGTTCGGAATGTCCCACAGCTTCACCGTGTAATCATCAGCCCCAGAGACCACGTGGTACTTGTCAGCTGTGAAATCTACCATGTGGACGGCTCTGAATGATCAAGGGTCAGTATATTAAAAAGCAAGAGAGTACTGGTCGGTGGAAATCAGGAAAAAAAAAGAAAACCTTCCCCCAGACGAATGTCAACACCCTGTGCTATGACAGTAACAAGAATGTTACATAGCGGCCCTACAAGGTTGGTTTTCTGCTATTGAATCCTAGGGCAAAAAAAGCTTTAATTTTTAAAATGTCATAAAAAGGGCATTTAAAAAACTTAAATTATATATGTGTATATGTATGTGTACACATGAACTCATATTACATGCTACAAAGTAGGAGCACGTTAGGTGCATTTCAACAAAACATTTCAATCAAGAGATATACACATAAGGGGTTTCAAAATATCCAGAGAAAAATTCCATTCTCTCTTTTTTTTTTTTAATTCCATTATCTTTTAAGTCCACTTTCCCCACAAACTTTTTGAAGCCTCCTCCTAAGAGATTAAGCCTGGATGTTAAATTTTAAATATTTCCCTGATGGAGTAAGACCACCCAGCTAAAACACTGTAAAAAAAAAAAAAAATCAAACACTTTTGGGGTGTTTTAACTAATAGCTCATTTCAACAAAGACATTAATTAATATTCCTGGAAAAAAAAGTTATAATATAAAATTTCACTGGTCATGCAATTCACTTAGGGGCAAAGTATAACAAATCCAAGTAAAAAAGGGGGCCATCTTCCACCATGCTTTCAAAAAGAGAACTTTTAAGACAGTGCAGGTCCCCCAGAGCCCCCTTTAGGCTATGAGGTTGCCTTCACAGCCTCAAGGGGATCAGAGTGGAGAGTTACAGGAAGTCTCCCTGGATAAGCTGACACTTCCTAAGATGTCAGAAGAATTCTAAGAATTCATAAGTCCATGAAGCCAGACCCCGGGGCCCAGGTGAAGTAACCAGTCTTAGAGGAACTGGGAAATGAGAGTGCACACAGGTCCATAACTAATACGGATCGTCCTTCCATTTTTATTCAAAGCAGGGAAAAGAGGAGACACCTTCAGGGAAAACAGACCAAGGCACACATCAACACGTGTCTCTTACTTTGTGTGGCCTTCAAACTGTCTGAGCGGAGCCCTCCCACTTATATCAAAGAGCTGCACGGCGCCATCTTCGCTGCCGGCCACAAGCAGCTGGCCGTCCTGTCGGAAAGTGGCACCGTACGCCGTGTCCTTAAATCGGGAGAAGGTTTTTATTGGTTCCTGGGAGTATCGGCCGTAGATATGAATCTATCACAGGATAAAAAATATGCACTTCAACATAGTATTTCACTGGCTGGCTCAAGCTTGGGCATAGCTCTAATGATACATAAGAAAAACAAAGGTGTTTCCTGCTATACTTACCCTTGAGGAAGCGGTGACGGCATAATTATAGGGCGGCTGGGGGGAAAAGTCTACTTTTGACACAGCACCAAACTCCTTAATCTGAACCGGGGTCTTAATGAAAAAGAAAACATCGTACAAAATTACAAGGGCAAACAAATCCCAGTGTTACAGCCTCTTTCAGATCCTTTCTTTTTGCTTTGTAACATTCTGTTGCATAAAGACAAGCAAAAGGCCCATAATCCCATCCACCCAAGCAGTCCTCCTTGCCGTAAGTCACTGAGGAACAAATACAAAGCTACAGACACTCTGTCTTCAGCTGCTGAGTTTCTGTGATTCCTTCCAGGGGGTGGACCCACTGCCTTTACCAGAGTATTGATCGGTATCATTTTCAACCAACCCAAAGATCCTACCAGGCAGACCATCCTGCATCTCGCTCTTTTTTCCACTTCAGAACACCTATTAGGTAACTTTCATGAGGATTTCTGATACTACAAGTAAGACTTCAGTGAGCACACGCACACATCTTTGCAAATCCAGGAGTACACTTATTATAAGGAGCCCTGGTGACGTATGGGTTACTCATTGGGCTGCTAATCACAAGGCAAGCAGTTTGAAACCACCAGTCTCTCTCCAGGATAAAAATACAGCTTTCTACTCCCGTAAAGTTAGTCTCAGACATCCACAGGGGCAGTTCTATGCTATCCTACAAGGTCCCTATATATCAGAATCAACTCAATGCCAGTGAGTTTTTGTTTTTTAAACTTATGGTGCAAGTTCCCAGCTGAGCCCGCTAGGTCAGAAAGTATGTGTTTTATTGTTGGTGTTTTTAAATGATGAAATATATTACCAGATTGTTCTCCAAAAAGTTTATACCAATGCCCCTCCTTAAAAGTGGACACAAGAGTTTATTTCATACCATTTCTTCCTTGGACTAAGAAAGGTTAAAAAAACAAAAACACCACCTTGCATAATATTCCAATTCTGAAATTGAATTCATTTGGCACTATCTACTTTGTGGTAGGTACTCGTGTAGTTAAATTGACCAATTAGTATGGATTTCTTACATAGAACTGTAAGAAAAATATCAGGTACCAAAGGATCTATGTAAATGATATACTGCTTATAGATTAAAAAGCTATTATTAAAGAAATGAAAAAGTTATTATCTGATTATTCAAAATATGACCCATGCTGGAGAAGGTGGCCTAACCGCAACCCTCCCTCCGTGCCCCCAGTACCCCCACTCACCTTATAGTTGTTCCAGTACAGAGTATCCTGGGTGATTTTCTCTCCAAGGACAGGATATGTCTGAAGAACTACAGGCTTATAACCCGCCATGGTTTCCTCTAACTGCACTGTTGTTTATGGGGCACTTGTATGGAATCAATGCTAGAAATAATACTAGACACTCCACCTCAATTCTGAAAAATAAAACATTGCATATGCATGAATGATTGACCAGCACAAACACAGTGTTCAGATTTCTACTCCATCCTTTTCAAAAAGTATGTGTGTGTGGTTGCTTTCTAGAGTCATGACCAGCAGGAAGGGCCTCAAAGAGATGTACTGACTTTGTGGCTGAAGCAATGGGCTCAAGCATCAAAATTGTGAGGAAGGTGCAGGAGCAAGCAGCATTTCCTTCTGTAGTGCACGGGGTCGCTGAGTCAGAGTCGGAGAGGACTCGATGGCACCTAACCGCCTAAGAGCGCAGTTCTTAATTGTAATCTAGAACAGACCGACTAGGAGCGCAGTTCCTAATTGTAATCTAGAACAGACCGACTAAAGCACAGTTTCTAATTGTAATCTAGAACAGACCGACTAAAGCGCAGTCCCTAATTGTAATCTAGAACAGACCGACTAGGAGCGCAGTCCCTAATTGTAATCTAGAACAGACCGACTAGGAGCGCAGTCCCTAAT